AGCCAGACTCTACTGTATCATCTGCATCTGGCCCGTAAAACGCTCAACCCCAGAAAAGACGCCTCAAACATCCTGTGCAAATCTTGAATGGCTAAACCCCACAACCTACCTGGCGTAAGAGGTTTTGGATTTAGGGTTTGCGCTCTAGGGCCGATGCCCCAAAATCCCAACAAAACAAGGGCAGGGTTTAGGGTTTATATAGGGCTATATAGGGGATTATATGTGGCTTAGGATTTAGGGTTTATATAGGGCCATCATCTGACTCTTAGGTCCGTCTTATTGGGGTTGGCGGGGCCAAAGTCCACGTGTAATAAGCCCTCATCAGCTGTAGGCCAGCCAAACCCTAGAAGTCCCTAAGCCCTGAACAGCCGACGCCCATATGTGGGAGATTGAATTCTTCATACATCCCTATGTTAGCCCAGTTTTCACTTAATCTTCCGTTTTCTTTGCCACTTTATTCGCCACTATTCCCTTCATTTAGGCCACCTACACACAGGACCCTAAATCCGAGGCCCTAAACTCTTATGAGCTATAGTCTAAACTCCTAGTATCCCCCTTAATAACCCCTATAGTAATCCCATATATAATCCCCTATATAACCCCCCTTTAGGGAGTATAGACTATAGCTCTTATGCGCCCAGAAGCTGGCATCCGGCGGAATCTCCGCCAACCAGGACCGGAAAGCCTCGCCCTGCGCGTCGATGATATCGCAGTTGACGCCCCAGTCACCAAACATAAGGACCTGAGGGTTGTTCTAAAGGTCCTTGTAAAGGAGGGGCCATTGGGAATACACTTCCTTACAAGGGGATCCTAACCAAACAGGGAACCTACAGTATGGTCATTTGGGGGACAGGTATTTTGAACAACTACCACCTGAGCGCTCAACATCCGTAGAGTAAGGTTTACGTGAAGCTTAAGGTTTCAGGTGTTTCCATTCTTTAGCGTTCCGGGTCCTGTATACACCAAATATTTTGACTAGTGATGAAACAAATCGAAACGAACATTGAACATGAAATGTCAAGTGGGTTGATTGGTAGTTTCCCCATACAGGGCGACCCCAGTATAGACATCCCAACACTATAATCCGTAGTCTAGGGACCACCCTAAAGTACCCCTATTTCAGGAAAACCCCATGTTTCTGTCCCAAACACGGGCTGGGGATTATACCACGTATGCATGATAGGGGATAACCTACGTATTCTGGATTCTAAAGTCCAGAAAAGGTTTAGGTAGGTCGAGCTTTTTCCGAGCTGCTCGCAACAGGAATGCTTTGGGGACCTGTGGAATATTACGCAGGGAAAACAAATGTGGGTTTCCCATATTAGGGGTACTATGTTGGGGGTCCCTATAATAAGGACTATAATATGTTGGGGTGCATATTGGGGCCCCCTTATTTTGGAATACTACCAAATGGATCATGGGGGTGCCTGTGAGGCCACGTGAGGCTATTGTCCAGTCCAAACTGGGTGGCGGGAAGCATCTAGGGGGGTTGTCTTTGTCCACACTAAACGGCGGGCATACCTACCGCAGGATCGCTTGTGGCATTGACGCTATCCCAGGCTGGTGGCTATCGATATGCTGGCGTTTAGGGTTCAGGGATCGATGAGCTGCTGGATCCTCATGGGGGCTGGCTCGTGGCCAATAGTAAAAAACGAGTGGGAAATCCAAGTGCATAATTATCAGGTGGAGTCCTGTTGAAGAATCACAGATTTACCGCAATACTAGCAGGATGACTGTGGTTGCTCTACGGGATCATACAGAGATGATTTGGAGCAAGTCCCGTGTGGGTTTGCACTTTATGAACCACGTGTGGGCAGGTCCTCGTACAGAACAAATGGGCAGATCAGGTTAAAGGGGAAGTGTGGGTTCTCAAATGCCGTAGTCGATCTAGGCAGGGCAGAGTACGCCCATTTAGGGCTCAGGAATTTAGGCATACATACGGGCTTTGAGCGGAAAAACCTAAGTTGCACCTTTTACCCTGGATCCCAAACCCTAAACCCAGTTGAATCTTAAACCCTGGACAAACCCCATGCCAGTCGAAGTTCGTTCGGTCGCGCTGGTTTCCTCAGGTGTCCAGTAGCTGGGGCTTACCCACGATGAACCGTTTAGTTTGTGGTTAGGTTATACTAAACAACAGATCAAAGATCCTTAAACCCTAAACCCAATTCCAGGCCCAGCCACTAAACCCTATAAACCCTAAAACGACAGGTAAGTTTCTTGTCTGAACTCACTGGCAAACGCGCCGTCGGCAATGCTCGAAGAAGGTCCGGGCCATCCCTGCGAAGCACCTGGGTTTGAGAGATATGGAGATTTCCCAAAATTCGGGGTACCTTTGGGGGTCCCCATGGTATGGATTGGAATATTCTGGGGTCTATGTTGGGGTCCCCTCTATTTTCGGAAACTACCATATGGGGAGGTATATAAGGACCTAATGTCGGCTTCGGATTACAAAAG